GCAAATTTCAACATATTTCTGCTACTTTTAGCTTCTTTCAGCTACTTATAAATGATAATTTCAGCTTTTTGTGCTTCTTTTATATTATTTTAAAATTTCAGCTATTGGTGTATTTCAAGTGTTAACTTGTTCAGCAGTTTTCAGTAAAATCACTCAGCAACAAGCAGTGCATTTTGGCAGCAAAATTTTGTCATTGTTACTGAATGTTTTTAAAAACACTTCCTTTATTTTATTTTATTTCACTCAGTTTCATTTCAGTTTATGTATATAGCTCCAAGTCACAACAGAAGTCGTCTCAGAGCACTTTACAGAAGCATTCATATACATTTAAAAAGCCAACTAGTAAAAGTTATCTATCAAATGAAGCCCAACATTTTTCAGTCAGGTCATCTGGACAGTTTCTTTTTTTTTATGCTGAAATGTTTTGCCTTCCATCCAGAAGGCTTCATCAGTCAAGAAAACACACAACACCGGCCCTCTTCCTTCTTGACAGTCTTGTCAAACTGGTTGAAAACAACAAAGTCCATGCTCAATAATCCAGGTATACAATCCAACATTTTTCAGTCAAGACTGTCAACAAGGAAGAGGGGGCGTACCAAAGAGACCATCTTATCACAAGCAGAACTGGTTTGTTCCACTTTGGAGTAAGCTGTTGGGGAAAAATCAGTTTTGTTGTGTGCTTCCTTGACTGATGAAGCCTTCTGGATTGAAGGCGAAACGTTTCAACACACAAAAAAAAAAAAAGAAACTGTCCAGATGATCCGACTGAAAAATGTTGGATTGTATACCTGGATTATTGAGCATGGACTTTGTTATCAAAGGAAGCCCACACACTTGTTGAATCAATCATTCTCCCACCCTGAGCAAGCACAAAGGAGACAGTGGAAAGGAAAAACTCCCTTTAGCAGGAAGAAACCTCCAGAAGAACCAGGCTCAGGACGAGCGGACAGCTGGGCTTGAGAGGACAGGAAGTAGAAACAGACAGAATGGCAGGCCCAGGTCAACTACAGGAGGAAAGACAAAAATCAAACATGTTAAGATACGTATAAATAATTACAAATACAAACAGGTAGAACAGAGCAAGTACCGACAGCAGCAGAGTGAGCAATTGTTGTCGACTGTGTGGTTTTACATTATTATATTTTGTTAATCTGCAAATTAATCACCTCACTTCATGAGATGAAATGAGTTCTTTCAAGTTTTCTGTCCAAACATGTGGGCTAGAAAAAAACAAAACACTGAATCAATCTTGAGCTTTTGAAACTGGAAATGGAAACATGGACTTGAAGGACTTGTACTGATTTCTGCAATGAATAAGTATATTTTATAAAAGGTGGTTTTGGAAGACCTTTAGAGTTGTTTCACAAACAACGTGGTGGGTCCCAAAAACACTTATATATATATATATATATATATATATATATATATATATATATAAATATATATTCAAATCCTGTGCAAAGTTTCTGAGTTTTTATTACAGACATGGGAAAAATAATGTTTTTGCCCATGTCTGTAGGTGTTCATTTACTGATAATGTTAAAAAGATACCTCACAATACATAATAATAAAACTCTCTGGAAGTAATCATTTGATGTGAAAGTGTTTAATTTCTACAGTCACTCAAATTCAAGATGGCTGCCACAGCCTATTGCCACTAGACAAAACAAAAGTTGCTTTAACTTAATCAATTAACAGATATTAGACAAAAATTTGATGTGGTAGTAGCTGAGTCTCATCCTGAACCTGTACTCTGACAGTTAACTCATCTGACAAGATCTGCATGACATCACACGACTTCATTTATGAGGTCTGATCTAAACAGCTGCAACTCCATCTCATTTGAAACACAGGACGATCTTGGAATAAAACTTTGGCGGCAGCAGGCAGAAATGCAAGTTCATTCATTTTATCTTCATCCTGACATGACAAATATTGTTCATCAGCCACTTATTTCAGGTACAACCCTTTTTATTTTGTTCCCTTCTAGTTCTGTTTTCTCTGATTGTCTGAATTTGCATCTATTTGCACGTCTCGACAGATGGAAACATGCCTTTATTTGGACTAATAGCTCCTTGTGGTTTTTTGCTAGCCCTTTCTGTATACAGCACACATGCACACAAAGGCACAGGCAGTCCTCCAGAAAACTTCTGCTTTTACTGTGTGCATGTCATAAAGAAACAGGAACATGCATACAGCTGTGCTCTTTACTCTGGAGTAAGTTATTAATATGATTTAAGTTCCTTGAAGGCGAATGACAAACTTCTCATTTTTATGCCAGCTCTAACACCCTGTTTGTGCACAGTGCTTTCACAGCACTTGTGTCTTTATCAACAATTGAAAATAACAACCTGGAGCCAGGCCTGGGACTGGGGCTCACTGGTGGGCACTCGGGGTCTGTACAATAAACAAAGTTGTGTATGCACCTAGCAGGAGTGGCTGAAGGGCACCTCAGCTGGGGACTCCAATAATTCAGCTCGGAGAATCCAGTGCCCAGATTCATTCATTCAACCTTTATTTATACAGCTTGGTCTCACTGAGTCACAAGGACTCATTTTCAAGGGAAACCTGTTTCAAATGGGTAGCAACAGCATAAACTAGCGGGGTGTGGTTGGGAGAAGCAACCCTGTCTGATCTGAATCTGAGCTCTGTTCTGTTACTAGATTTCTGTGCTAGTCTTGAATTATTCATAACAAATGGTCGAACATGTTGCTCATACAGGTCCTTCTCAAAAAATTAGCATATTGTGATAAAGGTCATTATTTTCCATAATGTAATGATAAAAATGAAACTTTCATATATTTCAGATTCATTGCACACCAACTGAAATATTTCAGGTCTTTAATTGTTTTAATACTGATGATTATGGCGTACAGCTCATGAAAACCCAAAATGCCTGTCCCAAAAAATGAGCATATCATGAAAAGGTTCTCTAAACAAGCTATTAACCTAACCATCTGAATCAACGACGTAACTCTAAACACCTGCAAAAGATTCTTGAGGCTTTTAAAAACTCCCAGCCTTGTTCATTACTCAAAACCTCAATCATGGGTAAGACTGCCGACCTGACTGCTGTCCAGAAGGCCATCATTGACACCCTCAAGCAAGAGGGTAAGACACAGAAAGAAATTGCTGAACGAATAGGCTGTTCCCAGAGTGCTGTATCAAGGCACCTCAGTGGGAAGTCTGTGGGAAGGGAAAAGTGTGGCAGAAAACGCTGCACAACGAGAAGAAGTGACCGGACCCTGAGGAGGATTGTGGAGAAGGGCCGATTCCAGACCTTGGGGGACCTGCGGAAGCAGTGGACTGAGTCTGGAGTAGAAACATCCAGAGCCACCGTGCACAGGCGTGTGCAGGAAATGGGCTACAGGTGCCGCATTCCCCAGGTCAAGCCACTCTTGAACAAGAGACTGTGTCAGAAGCATCTCGCCTGGGACTGCTGCTGAGTGGTCCAAAGTTATGTTCTCTGATTACAGTAAATTTTGCATTTCCTTTGGAAATCAAGGTCCCAGAGTCTGGAGGAAGAGAGGAGACAAAGAATTCACATTGCTTGAGGTCCAGTGTCAAGTTTCCACAGTCACTGGGGTGTCATGTCAGCTGCTGGTGTTGGTCCACTGTGTTTTATCAAGGGCAGGGTCAATGCAGCTAGCTATCAGGAGATTTTGGAGCACTTCATGCTTCCATCTGCTGAAAAGCTTTATGGAGATGAAGATTTCATTTTTCAGCACGACCTGGCACCTGCTCACAGTGCCAAAACCACTGGTAAATGGTTTACTGACCATGGTATTACTGTGCTCAATTGGCCTGCCAACTCTCCTGACCTGAACCCCATAGAGAACCTGTGGGATATTGTGAAGAGAAAGTTGAGAGACGCAAGACCCAACACTCTGGATGAGCTTAAGGCTGCTATCGAAGCATCCTGGGCCTCCATAACACCTCAGCAGTGCCACAGGCTGATTGCCTCCATGCCACGCCGCACTGAAGCAGTCATTCATGCAAAAGGATTCCTGACCAAGTATTGAGTGCATAACTGAACATGATTATTTGAAGGTTGGTGTTTTTTGTATTAAAAACACTTGGTCTTTCATTGGTGGGATGAAATATGCTCATTTTTTGGGACAGGCATTTTGGGTTTTCATGAGCTGTATGCCACAATCATCAGTATTAAAACAATTAAAGACCTGAAATATTTCAGTTGGTGTGCAATGAATCTGAAATATATGAAAGTTTCATTTTTATCATTACATTATGGAAAATAATGACCTTTATCACAATATGCTCATTTTTTGAGAAGGACCTGTATGTGTGCACGGTACCAGGGCACCTTAGTCTGCAAATTGATGATAGACTTTGACCACCTGGAGGTAAGATGGATCAGATCCTTAGCCACCCCGCTAGGGTCTATTCAGGGAGATGCTGGAGAAGAGTCAGGCCGATGCTAATTTTGGATTTAGGAGGAACAATGTGGGCTCCATCTCGACCGCAGAACAATGGACCAGCTCTTTATTCTAAGGCCCTCAAAGGGAAATGGGAGTTTGCCGAACCAGTCCACATGTGTTTTGTGCACTTGAAGAAGACATTAGACCATGTGTCAAGACATTAGACCATGTGTCTCAAGGTACCCAGTAGAGGGGTACTCCTTGAGTATGAGATTGGAGGTTGGTTGCTACAAGGCATTCAGAACCTATTTAATTGGTGCAAGAGTCTGGTTTACCTTTTTAGGGAGGTGTTCTGGATATGTCCAAGTGGAAGGAGGACCCAGGGAAGACCCAGGACACGCTGGAGAGATTGTCTTTCAGCTGATCAAGGACCACCTTAGAATCTTCTCAGAATCTGGACCATTGTGTTAAAGCTGCTGCCCCGAGAAACAACTCCAGAACAAGCAGGAAAACGTTATAATTTGTTGAATGTTTATAAAGTTTTACAGTTTTCTCATGTTTGTTTTTGACAATCCGACTCTTCATGGAGTGAATCCTGATCCTCGTTTCCTTCTCTGACAGATGCAAACCTCAAAAGATCAGGCTGCGCTCATCCCTCAGCCTCGTGGGAGTCTGCCTAAAGTTTGTGCTGCTGTGCTGGCTGCCCTGATAATAGGAATTATCAAATTCACGACTGCTGATGGCTTTCTTGGCCTGGTAGCATTAGCAGTACTCATCGTGACACTTGGACCTCTGCTGCATGGGCTCTGCCTGCTGGCTGAGGAGCTGCGGAACCATTCAAACACAAGGTGAGGCCTTCGTTTAGGCCTGTTGCACTGTTCACGTTTTTAGAAGCTTCTTTTGCTTTTATAGCCTTTTATATATTCTCTTCATGCTTTCAAAGCAATTTCCACAAATATCAAACAGCTTATTTAATGTTCCTAAATATTTAAAATGTGTTATATGCTGCACAAGACAAACAGCAAATAAAGTATAACACCAATTTTGAAAATTTGACATGTGGGAAATGTAAATAAAAACAAAATGTAATTATTTACAATGGAGCTAAGTAAACATATTACATGTTTCAACCAAGAAACTGACATTTTCCATCAGGCATTAATACATTTGAAGGCAGCAGTATACCTCAAAATGTCAGAAGAGGGCCATGCTTCCCCTATGAAGCCTCCCCTCTCCTTTTAACGTCAGTCTGTAAATGTCTCAGATAGGAGGAGACCAGCTGCTGGAGTTTTCCTGGTCTCGTGTAAGATTCTAGCAGTTCAACAGTCCTGGATCTTAGCTGGGTTTTTGTTTTATCCATCCATTATCTTTTACCCGCTTATTCCATTTTGGGTCACGGGGGTCGCCGGTGCCCATGTGCAGCAATCACTGTGCGAGGGGCGGGGTACACCTTGGACAGGTCTCCAGTCCATCACAGGGACACATAGAGACAAACGAGACAAACAACCATTCACTCTCTCACTCACACCTAGGGACAATTTAGAGTTACCAATCAGCCTAACATGCATGTTTTTGGTCTGTGGGAGGAAACCGGAGCACCCGGAGAAAACCCACGCATGCACGGAGAGAACATGCAAACTCCACCCAGAAAGGCCCCTGGACTGAGATTTGAACCAGGGACCTGCTCACTGAGAAGCAGCAGCTCTACCAGTTGCGCCACCGTGCTGCCAGTTTTTGTTTTATGATTTACCAAATGTTTTCAGTTGTTGAGAGGTCTGAACTGCAGGCAGGCCAGTCGAGCACCTGGACTCCTAACCTGTATAAATAAAGGTTGATCCATGCTGTTGTAATGATGCAGGGTGAGGTTTAGCAGGTCCAGACCTTCTCTGAAGACATCTGGATGGAAGCATTTGTTCTAATGGAACATGTATATCCCATAGGTACCCCAATATCATCAGCGAGGCAGGCTTTTGAACCGTGTGCTGATAACAAGCTGAAAGGTCTCCCTCCTCTTCAGTCTGGAGGATGTAGTTTCCAAAAGGAATTTGGAAATTTGATTTATCTGACCACAGAGCAGTTCTCCACTTTGCCTCTGTCTATTTTCAATGAGCTTTGGTCCAGAGAAGAGGGCAGCAGTTCTGGATGTCTAGAACAAAATCAGATCTGTTTTTGATGGCGTGGCCCCTTAGGGCCCAGTCATCCCTAGATTCCAGTTTTGTCTTTCAGTCTTATCCATTGAGAATCAGAATAAACTTTATTATCACTGCACCGAGATACAAGGAGAACATGAACGTACAGTCGTCCGAAAGATGGGCGGAGTGCACGAAGCTGCTACTATAAAAGCGCGGCCCTTTTATTCTTATTCAAAATAATATTTTGCTTAGATGAGAAAAGGAAAGAAAACATGAGGAGAGACGGTATAAAAAAAAGATCTCTCACTCCGTGTCCTAGACAGGGCACGATTTGAGGCATCAAAAAAACCTACCACAGCAAAGCCACATAAATAGACATACATGTACATATAGGCCGGTGAAGACATTTAATTTTTAAGGGAAAGTTGTAGCATAGTCCAGAACCCTCCCTCTCAGCCATTGTCCAGATAAGAGGTGTTATTTATCATCATCTCGGGTGAGGTTCTGTCACATGTCCACGGCCTTGGGGAAGGGAGGGGTGAGGAGACAGTCAAAGCATGTTTCATCCATCCATTTTCTTCCGCTTATCCAGGGTCGGGTTGCGGGGGTAGCAGCCTAAGAGGGAGGCCCAGACTTCCCTCTCCCCAGCCACTTGGTCCAGCTACTCCGGGGGAGTCCTGAGGCGTTCCAGGGCCAGCTGAGAAACATAGTCCCTCCATCGTGTACTGGGTCTTCCTCTGGGCCTCCTCCCGCTGGGACGTGTCCAGAACACCTCACCAGGAAGGCGTCCAGGAGGCATCCTAAACAGATGCCCGAGCCACCTCAACTGGCTCCTCTCAACATGGAGAAGCAGCGGCTCTACTCTGAGTCCCTCCCGGATGATCGAGCTTCTCACCCTATCTCTAAGGGAGAGCCCAGACACCCTGCGGAGAAAACTCATTTTGGCCACTTGCATCCGAGATCTCGTTCTTTCGGTCACAACCCAAAGCTCGTGACCATAGATGAGGGTAGGAACGTAGATCAATCGGTAAATTGAGAGCTTCGCCTTTTGACTCAGCTCTCTCTTCACCACGACAGACCTGTACAGCGCCCTCTTCACTGCAGACGCTGCACCTATCCGCCTATCGATCTCACGTTCCATTTTTCCCTCATTCGTGAACAAGACCCCGAGATACTTGAACTCCTCCACTTGGGGCAGGATCTCCTCCCTGACCCGGAGAAGGCACTCTACCCTTTTCCGGCTCAAGCATCAAAGCATCTTTGTTGTTTTCAAAACATTCCAGGAGGAGTTGAGATAAGTCCGCCGTCAAGGCCACAGTTTGGGTCAGGCAGAACTCTTGAATTGTTGTTTCTGCCTTTTTAAAGACTCGCTGGTATATATTCCTCTGATGGAAACTCCAAACAGCCGAATTGATCCCTTAATGCCTTAAAGCCGAGCTCACAGCTTCTCCAAGATTATTCCACCATTCATGTGTGCTGCTAGAGAGTTCACAGTCCTGATAACAGCTGCACCAGCTCTCTGATGTAAACTCCACATAGTTCATTCTGAGTGCTGTCGAGCTTCGACACAGCCACACAAATTTATAGACAATCCAGATTTCACTAACCAAACAGCAAAAACACAGTTGTCATCATGAATCCAATTTGTTTCCGTCGAGGTAAGACGGTCCTCCTTACCATGACTCCTGTCAGGAGAAGTTGATCAATTTTGTTGAGAGACCAGCTGACCCTTCGAATTAAGAGGTATGCAGAAAAAAAGAGGCTTTTTAAGGGTTCACGGTACGAAAGAGTGCAAGCAGGGAAGCGGGGGGGAAATGGTACGGAGCGCCGGGAAAACACGTCTGTCTTCACCGGAGTACAGAGAGAGAAAAGAAAGCTGAGAGATTTCACCAGATCTTTGAAGTAGTTTATGATAATGTATTCAGTCTTCTCAATTTTCTTTTGAGGAACATTTTTCAAAAATTGCTCATTAAATTTTAGACAGTTTTTTTTTACAGAATTATGAACCCATCGTTATATCTCATAGTTAACCTCTCTAAAATGTCTTTTTATGTGCAGTCTTCTTATTGACCTATTAATCCATCCCTCCATCCATTATCTTTACCCGCTTCGTTCTTTTCGGGTCTTGGGGGTCACTGGTGCCCATATCCAGCCATCACTGTGTGAGAGGTGGGGGACACCTGGACGGGTCTCCAGTCCATCACAGGGACACATAGAGACAAACAAGACAAACAACCATTCACTCTCTCACTCACCTAGAGACAATTTAGAGTTACCAATCAGCCTAACATGCATGTTTTTGGTCTGTGGGAGGAAACTGGAGTACCCGGAGAAAACCCACACATGCACGGAGAGAACATACAAACTCCACCCAGAAAGGCCCTGGACTGGGATTTGAACCAGAGACCTGCTCACTGAGAGGCAACAGCTCTACCAGTTGCTCCACCGTGCTGCCAGCCTATTAACCTAATTAATAAAAATGTCCCTCAAGCTGTTTCTTATATGTACCACCTACCTTTACAGCCTTTTGTTGGCCCTTCCAGTCTTTTTGAGATAAGTTGCAGCTGTAAAATTTAGGATTGCAATATATTTTTTCCTAGAATAATTGTACAATTTCTTTGTTTAAACATTTGTTTTGTTTACTTTGGTCCATTGTGAATAAAATGTGGCTTTGTGAGATGCATTTTGTTTTTACTTAAATTTTCCACATTGTCCCAACTTTATCCAAGTGTGGTTGTAAATAAATATATCAGGGATATAAAATATTTCTTCAAACAATTCCTGGAGGCCAAAAAGGAGATTGAGTGTTGTCTAATCCAAAAGGAAAAGAGAAAACATTTGATTTCTTCAAAGTAAAGCCAAGTTAATCAGTTTTATTATGAAACAATGCCGTAACGAGTCATAAACACAAAAACAGGAGCAACAGCAGCTTCTTTGTCTCTGTTTTTGCCAGGTATCGAGGCCAAGCAGTGGTCAGCCACATGCTGCCAGCCTGCGGTTTGTGGGGTACGACTCTGCTGGTTGCAGGGCTGGCAGGCATCCTGCTCTACCTGAGCAGTCACCTTCTTCTGCACAAAAGCCAGCGCTGGGAATTGGTTTTCCTGGTTCCTGCCATTTACACACTGTTCAAAAGCCTGGGAGCCCTGGTGAGTTTCAAGCTTGACTGGGATTTCAGTTTCTGGTTTAGGCCAAATCCCACTCTTTGCATTTACCTTGTCTCACTCTTCTGACAGTTGAAGTACCTGACATCAAATGTTTGTTATTAATGTGATTTTTTTATTTATTTTTAATCACAACATTAATAACATCTTGCAAAAAATAAAAAAATAAAAAACTTAATATGCAATTTTTTTTTTCAAGGATTAAATTATTTTTTATTGTCATACCAGCAGTTTATATATATATATATATATATATATATATATATATATATATATATACACACATATACATACTGTATATAAACACACATACTAGTAGTTTTTTTGGTTTTGTTACCTTTTTCCTTTTAGCCATCCTATTTGTTAAAAAAAAAAACAAAAAAAAACTGTAGTATGAGTTTTTATAACTGCTTATTGTTGTTGCTGTTGTCCATTGTTGTCATCTTTCTTTGTTGAAATCAGGTCTCTCTTGTAAATGAGTCCTCGAGGCTCAATGGGATTTACCTGTCTAAATAAAGGTTGATTGACATACAGTATACATATACTTTTTTATTTATATATATATATATATTTTTTTTTTAATATTTATATTTATATACATCCAGATGTAAATCTGAGACACCTGAGGAAGTTAACCAGTAAACAGAAATACCTGCTCCAGTTGCAGAAATCTTACAGAAACTGAAAATCACTCATCTGTAGTGACTGATTTAAAAAGTTGAACAAGAAACTGTGAAGTTAAAGGAAACATCATTTGTCCCAAAGCCAGTTTAAATATCATTGTTATTTTGGTTACTTTATTTTTCTTTCTTTATGAATAGATTGAAACTGTTTTCACATTATTCAACTACCAAAAAGGATTTTATTTTTAATGTAATGAGTAGGTATTAAAAAACAAACATTTAGACTAACCCTTTATGTTACTCTTATTCTGAAATGTAATGGAGTTCTGTGAAGAAGGTACCTTCTTCTTCTACTAAACAAGATCTTGATGACATCAAACGCCTACTGAAATCTGCAAAAACGGATGAAAATGGGGAAAAGAATGTTCTTTCAATCACCACGGTGGTGGAGGACCCAGGTCCTCCCACAGGTGCAATAGCTACCTCTTCCCCACCCATCAGGGGGGAAATCAATGAAGCTCTACCCACAAACCCACCACCAAAACCAGTGAACAAGTCGAGTGTAGTTATGGTCGTAGCAAAGGATCTAGAGGACCAGTACTCGGCTGAGGAAGATCCTGCGATCCAAGTTGAACCCCCAGTCCTGCAGTTTCTCAGTCATCTCACAAAATAAGGTGCAGCACAGAAGTTCTACGCACCTCTGAATCCAGAAGATGTGTTGGTGCACAACACACTTCTTGACACTGGCTCGGACTTGACACTCATGTCCGCCAATCTTTTTGAATCCTTGCGTAACGCTACAGACATTGCGAACAAAGAACTGAAAGTTCAGTCTTGTAATGTGAAGGTACAGTCGTACTCTTCAGCCAACACAATTTTGTCCTCAATGGCACTAATACAGATCTCCATCGATCATATGACCGTGGTACACCCTGTGTACATCTCAGACCTTAAATCGGTCCCTTTTCCTATTGGAAACAATTTTCTTGTCAGGCTGATGCCTTTAATCTGCTTTCAAACCCTGAAGATGTGGGCACAGGTACAAACACCTCTGCCAATTGTATTACCTCAATAGTTCCATCTATGTTTTGATGTGCTGGAAACCGCAAAGAACTCGGCTGCAAACCAAACTGAGTCCATAGACCAGACAGGTGATGAACATCTAAAAGAAGTTCCCTCAGAGACTGTGGTCACAAACACCCAGCCAAAACAACCGTTGGAACAGTTTCTACTTGAAAACAACGTTCTTTGTCGTCTGGACCCACCAACAGCTGCTGAGTCCATGACACTTTTCTCAAACATGACCTTTGACCCCAACATCATAGGTCCAATAAAAAGCACAGATAAAGCACAAAATGGTTCTTTCACATGAACAAAGCATCTGAAAACACCAAACCAAAACACAGCGTTGTGTCCATCAGCCCTGCATTATCTGATGAAGATCTTAACTTTCAATCACGTGATCCTGCAATCAACAAAATCATTCTTTGTCTCTCTGACTCAGTCAAAAATGAACTGACTGCATCAGACTTTGACACCTTTCCAGAGTTACATGATCTCTACAAAGTTTGTTCCTCACTTACGTTGGTCAAGGGCATCCTAATGTATGGTTCCGATGCAACCACTTCACCTGTGTTCGTGGTCCCACACACATACAGGGGGTGAGAATGGACAACGCCCATGACATCCTCTCTTCTAGACACAAGGGTGTCAAAGCAACACTCAATGCTTTAAAACAGGTCACCTTCTGGCCTGGAATGCGTAAAGACATCACTGACTACATCAAAGTATGTTCAAAATGACATCAATCTCAAATGATCAAAGGTCGTGTGGGGAAACTACAACAAGAATTCCCTAAAAATCAAAAACAACTACATCTGCAACAAGATGAACTAAAATTCTTAGGGAAAATCCCTAGAAACACAGTACACATCAATGATGTGATCCTGTCATCTAGATACAGGACAGTATCGTTGTAACATTGACAATCCTACGTTTTCAACACACACTCCTTCAAACTGGACTCAAACGGTTGAGCAAATAGAAGAATCAGAATAGATAGATGAAGCTTTTGTCCTTGGTTACTCATGTCCCAGAAGAAATTTGATAGTTGTCCCGTCTCCGAGGCCGTCGGGAGTCAGATTCAGATGAGCTTGATTCTTGTTTTTCTTCAGGCAGAGATTACTTTTTTCCAGCCCTGAGTCCATCTGGGCGTTCTGGTTCCGAAAAAGCCTAATTGTGGGATTCCATTCCACTGATCCATGCTATGAGTCTCCTTCAAGGTCGAACCACCACGCTGACGAGTCCCAGAAGCTGCAGGTGGCCTGTGATTCTCATAAATCGCCTCCAGCTTACGGCTAAGCTCGTAAACCAGATGATTTAAAGTTCCCACAGCGAGGACCAGACCTTCACACTGACTCTGAAGCTTTTCCATGGCTGAAACTGCTCCCACCGTCTTCTTCAAAAGTCGATAAAACAGAATCCCGCCGATGCCAAAAAGCAGAGTCCCTGCTATCATAAATCCAAATATGTAAACGTCTTCAACATCCTCCTGAGACAGAACTGTAATGCACATCATCTGCCACACTCCCCACGGATCCATGACGTACCCCACAGCGTGAGTCTCAGCTGGACACGCCGGTTCCCCAGGACCTTGTCGCTTTGATGAAAAAATCTTATCAATAGAGTTGAACGGCCACGATACCAAATCCATAATCTTCTTAATTTATGTTCGGGAGATGTGAACCAGGCACTTCAGACACACAGAGAGTAGAGCAGGAAGAAGGAAAAATAGGGGAGAGATGACAGAAGCAGCCACCTCGATGAGAGCCTGGGAGGAAACAGCAAATACAGTATGAAAGCGTGAAAACAAAAATGAGATGTCTAACAGAGATGAAAATAACAAAACCACTAGTTTCTACTGGGGGTGAGACATTGAACCCCACAGTTACTTGTGGGGGTTGAATTGAACTAACACTGCTAACATTAACATCTCCACTCTGCATGATCCCTAACCTAGTTGAGCTCCAAATCCTGAAGAGATTGTTGAGCTAGACTGAAGTCCAAGTTATTTTAGGATCTGTTTCGATTGTTGTTTGTTAACTGGTTGATAAGTTTAGTTCTGATGCCACATTTTGAAAAGGGATGCTCAAACATTGTTTATAACTACACCTTTTATGAGTTCTACTTAAGAAAATATACCAAAGAAATGACTTGTCTCATAAATTCTGATCGAAAAAGCATGTAAAGATTACAGTTATTTCATTTATAGGGAATCACTCCTTATTATAGCACTCAAAACCTTTGATCTCAAGTATTTTTGAATCTTTATTGTTTATCACAATCAGTAGTCAAACGGAAAATCATTTAGTTTAAAACTTTACATTTTTGATGAACTGTATTTTTATTCAAGTTTGTTAAATTGAGTAAATGTTTAAGAACCATTTAAACATTTTAAGCCAGACTCTGTCCTCTTCATTTTCCTACTTTGACTATAAAAAATCAGATGCATCAGTAATAACCAGTCTAAGGTTGCCCTGTCATTTGGGTGGATCACTACCATGATGACATCTGGTCCTTCCTTGCTGATCCAGTCCTTGGTATCCTTTCTGATGACGCCAGGATTTCCTTCAACCTGGTTCTTCCTCGAGATATGAGTATTCACTGGGAATACTCCACCATCTTCATTCCACGGTGCCAACTGGTGACACCTACCACAGGATACCTTCATTCTGACACCTGCTTGGATCACTAAGGTGTCAACTACCTGTTTGCTTTGCTGACAGGACCTTTGTTTGGTTTCGCTTTGGATCGAGTGCTTCCACTTTGGATCTATTGCTCTGCCTGCTGGATCGTTGTTTTCCCTCAGTGCTACTAAGGATGGCACAAGACTTTGACTGGTTGGAACTTCTCAGAAGACCATGCATTCTCTTTGGAATATAATTCCTTTTCTTCAATGACCTAGGAGGGTGTCATAGGACACCTTTTAACTTTGTTCTTCAAGACTTAGTCCACATTGATTACCATGGTGTCAAGGCTGACCCCATCGAAGTTTCTTCTGATGGCTCATGGATTTGGTTTGTAGTGACTCAATAGCCATCTGGACTGGCATCAAGTCCCTAGTGGGGGAATATGTAGCAGGAAGCCGCACTGCTCTAACTACGACCCCTGACCCTTATTCATCTTCCAGACTCACCATGAATCGTGTTTCTTAAAGTTACCCCTGACTTCAATAATGTCTGATGTTTTTCCACATGTCCTGTCCTTGGACACAGAGTCAGCTACAGTCTGACTGATGTTGATCTTGTTTCTTCCTGGTTCTAAGAAAGGAAACTGAATCATTAATGAAGTTTCTAAAAAAGTTAAATCTGGTCCTCTGGACATTCAAAAAAAACCAAAACAAAGCAAAAACAACAAAAAATGTAGAAACGTTTCGTCTCTCATCCGAGAGACTTCCTCAGTCTGAGGTGCTGTATTCAGCTCAGTCTCTTAAATAGCACCTTCTCAGGGTTGATCAACCAGTTTTGCTGCTGACAACCAAAACCAGCTGATCACATGCTCAAGAAGGACCATCAGCCTAACAATGGATCATTAGCACACTGATGGCTGTTTACTGTTCACAGAGGGCTGAGTGATACTAGCAATCACAGCATTGTAAGAGGGGGACAGTTGAACCCGGAGGCTCCACCCCTGTTTAATGATGGACGATTTCTTTTCACAAAGATGGCCTCCTTTACTCCTCTCTCAAACCATCGTTCCTCTCTGTCCAGGATGTGAACATCTTCATCCTTGAAAGAGTGACCTCTGGCCTGGAGATGAGTGTAGACCGCAGAGTCCTGGCCTGATGATGTTGATCTTCTGTGCTGGTCCATCCTTTTGGCCAGTGGCTGTTTAGTTTCCCCGATGTAAGACTGATCACCCTCCTGACACTGAACAACATACACAACATTACTCTGTTTGTGCCGGGGGACTGGATCTTTGGGATGAACCATTATAATGAAATCATGTGACATATTACAATGTGAACAACACATTTCTCTGTTTTTCAGAAAGTGATTGTTCCTTCAGAGACACCTGTGAAAAAGTTATTTTAGCTGGAAGCTGTTTTCTTCAGAGGGAGCCACAATGGTCCCATGTCCGTCAAACAATCTTCTCAGAGCTCATGTTTTGTACAAAGTCTCTTTGTGTAAAAACAGTTCGCCTTGGACCCTCAAACCGAGCAGTTCGTCTCCGGCCCCGAACCGGAAGACGGTTCGTCTTTGGACCAGATCCTCGAGGTCATGCTTAGGTCCACTCGTTCAACTCCTGAGCAGATGAACATGTAGCTCAAATTACAATTGTTAGAAGTTTAGATAACTGCAGAAGATGAAGCCTTTTCTCACTGCAAGACTCATGCTCTCGGCTGAAGGTGCCGACGGACGGTGCACCTTCTCATCAGCTGTTCCCTCACAGACCCTGAAGCTGTCACAGTGACGGTCAGATACCTTGGGCAGTTCCTGGTGAGTCCTCATGGTGTCTCTGGTCAGATCCACCAGAGAACCCCAGAAAGACGAGTGATACCTTCAACACTGACCCAGTAAGGAGCAGAACCTGGTGACATGATGCAACTCTTGATCTGGTTATGCAATTTTCAGCTGATGCAACTTGATAAATCATTTCCTGCTTGCAGTGACGATAAATGACTTTATCTGATCAGATTAAATAACTTCTTTCAACCAAAATCCAAAGTAAACTATTTATTAAAATAGTCAAACTTTGTCTAAACTCATGTGCGTATAAAACTGAAATAATTCCTGCTCAAAGAGTCAATTTCAGAGTCAGAGTCAGAGTCAGAGTTTCTTTATTGTCATTCGCACCTCATGTGGTACATGTGGTGGAGCGAAATTATGTACACAGGGTCCCAATTTAGCCTCAGATAAGAGAATTAAGCCTTGATTGATTCATTATTATTGTTTGTTTATTATTGTTGTTGATTTTTAGTTTGATTATTTTTGTAATAAAACTTTAAAAACAACTTTGGTCTCTTCATTCAGATGAATATTCATGTGTTCTGGTATAAAACTCCCTGTAATGAACAGATTCTACTTCAGTGACTGATTCTGATCATTAAAGGGTGAAAATATTAATATGGTAAATATATAAATAATAATTAAGTTGTTGTTGGTCAATAAACTGATCAGCTGGTGCTCCACTTTAACAAGAGGTAATTAAATAAAATAAATGTAGTGGAGGGGAGTGGAGAAAGTGTCACCCTTCTTGCTCCATCTCACATCCTTCATATTGCTACATAGTCATGGATGACCTGAGGGAACACGGGAACAAGGAGCTTGACATGACAACGACCAGACAATGAGACACATCAACACAGACTCACAACCACGGACAAGACAAAGTGCAAGCGCCTGCGACCAGTAACAGGTGCAAGAGGGACTGAGCACAGAGGAGCAGGACTAAAGACTCCACAAGGGGGAACAATCCTCACACTATATAAATAAACTGAATTAAAATTTAATTGAATAATCATTTATTATATTCAACTTATTTTTCAGTCTACGACTCTGGCTTCCATGTTGGTTTTGAACCATAGCTGCCTTGTTCTGAACTCAACATCAAATAATTAAACTTCATCAGAGAACATTCTGAGACTGTTTAAACATCAATTTTGTTCATGTAAAGTGCAGTAAAACTGCTTCTTCACATTTCTGATGAAATAAAGTTTTTTGTTAGAAACCTTATATGTTTGCAGCTCAGAGTTTCTTGGAAGTCTCAAGTGATAAAGGTCTTTAATGACTATATTCAGAGACCATCGGCGTTGGTGCAGGGATGCTCTTTCCTTTTCCGGAAGTGTCGGGGGGCTCTTGAGCAGAGATAAGGTGGAGTCATGTGTTTCTGCATTGGGTGTGCAGGGTCCATCGGAGGTAGAGGTGTCATACATCTGCGAGGAGAGGAAGATGAACGTGGCCCATGGCTTGGCCTGGTCCTTCTACCTGGGCTATCTGCAGCTGGTGCTGCCACGTCAGTAACCTCCAAGCACAAAAACACACACAGCTCAGTAGAAATTAATCTAAACCTTTTTTACTTCACCACTCATAGCATTACTTTTAGCACAAATATATCAGGACGAAAATGTCGAGGTGCGAATCAATGACTGAGTTTGCATGTCTATCCAGGTTTGGAACACTCCATCGCTGTGTTTTGTGCTTCACATCAGGCCAGCGAGCCCTGTTGGGGTCGCGGCTCCAGGAAGCTCCTCATCCTCATTCCTCTTAATGCCAACATCTCACACAAGCTGGAGGACGAGGACAGCAACATCCGTTTTTATGACAACCTTCCAAACAACGAGATAGACCGGGCCGGAGTCCGGGGCCGGGTCTACAAGCACAGCATCTACAGAGTGCAGGATGAGCATGGGAGGGTGAGTGAAATGAATTAAAAACTTACAAATGTCACTTTAACAAAACCATACTAGAGTTAATTATCAATGATCCAAATCAAATGATGTCTAACTACTTAAACTCCACCCAGCATCAGAGTAAAAATGCTCCTTCACTGTTAAACGAATGCATCACACTGCGCTGCAGAAACGTTGTGTCCTGGCTGTCAGCGCAGCCAGAAATCTGTATCCTTTGACCAGATCTGTAAAGACTGCACAGCTTTAATACAAGACATAATAAGAGTTAAAGAAAGGACACACTCAAGGGATTGTTTCTGGGTTTTGAATATTTAAAGACAGCACAGCAGTGTACTCCTTGGTACACTGATTGTGTCTGACGGAGCAGATCTGACACTGACTGGACCCAAAACCAGCTCGACGACTGAATCAAGGGAAGGAATGACAACATCCTGAGTTTCATGTGATTTCAAAGACGTTTCGTCAAGCATTGGCCTAATTTCCCTGCTGCAGACACCACATGGTATCAAACAAAGTTTTTATTTTTAACACTTCAGTGATGTACATGAGAACAGATAAAGGACATTTATACCTGCTTCCATTTTAAGGTACTGCTTGTGAAAAGCTGAGATCTTCCATAGAAATGAGGGATAAAAAGCAGCCAGGTGCATAAATGAATGTAGAGAAACCATGATGTGGCGTTTCAGACAGTCAAAGGAAATGTATGTAGACCTAATGTCTTACCTGTATTACACGAGTCTTTAAAATTGTAAATATGTGATTATGTGTATATATATATATATATATATATATATATATATATATATATATATAT